ACCACCGGACCGAGTCCTGGGGGGCTATGATCTTTCCTCTGAAGTCCACTCCCTCGTCGTGTGCTTGGGTTCTGGTCCTGTAGAAGTGTATGAGTTCGGCCTTGTCCGGGTCGAAGGAGACCGCGTTCCTGTCACCCCAGTTTAGGGTGTCTTCCAATTCCCACTGGAGCTTCTGGGCGGTTTCTTTGGTGTCGGCCCCCACTGCCATNATGCCAATGTCGTCCGCGTACCCGAAGCGGGTGTTGGGGTCATTGAGCTTCAGGCTGGGGGAAAAATAGAGCATGGAGACGATGGGGGAGATGGGGGACCCCTGTGGGGCTCCGCATTCCAGCTCCGTCTCCGGGAGGGTGGTCCCGTATCCGTTTCGAACAAGAGCCTTGCGGTCGCTCATGAAGGAGTCGACCCATTTCACAAAGAGGGGGGGCCAACCTTGTTCCCTGAGTCTGTACACCAGGCGGTTGCGCATGACGATGTCGAACGCGCCGGAGATATCGAGTGTAAGGAGGGAGATGACGAGACCCTGGGCCAGGGCGACTTCGGCGTCGTGTAGCAAGCAGGCGACCAGGTCTGTCGCGGACCTTTTTGGGAGAGCCCCGAAATATTGTTCTGGCAGTATTTTGTGTTCCATCGCTAGGAGGGAGACTCTTCTAGCTAGGAGTCTCTCGAGGCCTTTGCCTATACAGGAGAGCAGGGAGATGGGTCTATAGCCTTTGTGCGTAGTGTACGCCTTCTCCGGCTTCCCAGGTTTGGGGATGATGGTGATCTCCGCGCTCCGGAAGGGGAGTGGGTGGTGTCCTATCATCAGGCATCCGCGGAAAAGGTTGGTTACGTACTCGCCGATGGCAGGCCAGGCGAGCTGTAGAAGGGCGACTGATATGCCGTCTGCGCCGGGCGCGGTGTTTCCTGACCCCGTTGTGGCTTTCTTGGCCTCCGGCTCCGACACTGTTTGGTCCCAGTGGATGTTCTTGTTGACGGGAAAGTCCTCTTCCCATGGGTCTGAGATGTCCTCCTCTGTTGTCTTTCGCTTGAGAAGTTTGTCTCTGAGGAAAGTCGCTCTCTCCGTGGGGTCTGAGATGCTTTTGTCCCCGTCTATCAGGGGGGGCGGTTGAAAGCGGTCCGTCGCCTTGCGCCACTTGGCCACTGACCAAATGTTCCTAGTGGCGCTGGCTTCCGCTATGATCTCGTCCCAGTGGGCTCGCTTGCTGCGGCGTATGGAGTCTCTGAGGGTCTTACGGGCTCCCTCTTGGGCGGGGGAGCCGTCTGCCGCTTCTTTGTAGGCCTTGTGGGCTGCTTTGCACTTTTCCGACCACCATGGTGCACTGTGGCCGTTCTGGTGTCTGGTCTTGCCGGCCCCCTCTATGGCTTGTTTGAAGAGGTCCTGCAGGGCCTTGGCGCATTCGTCAAGGTTGGTTTCTGACGGTGTGGTCAGGTCGACCGTGGGGAGGGTCCAAGCGAAGGAGCGCATGAGTTGGCCGAAGTCTTCCCAGCATTCCAACGGGACGTATTTTTTCCCTGCCCCCGGGGTTGTCCTGAGGGGCTCGGGCAGGTTCGTGATCACTGTGTAGTGGTCCGACCCTGTGTTGAGGGAGTGTTCGACCCTGGTTGACGCAGGGCAGTTTGTGAAGACCAGGTCGATGCACTTTCCCGAGTGTCGGGTGGGCGTGTCTATTAGAGCTGGGAGGAGATCGTGCTTCTCCGCCCATTCCGCGATTTTGTTGCCTGCCGGGTCCGCGCCCCTGCCCGGTTCCCAAAGTTGGTGTGAGGCGTTGAAGTCGCCTGCGATGATTGAGCGGGGGGGGGGAGGGCCCCATTTAGTGAGGGTCTCTGTGGCTGAGTCTGCCGAAGCCCTTCGGTAGACGTTGACGATGGTGTAACCGCATACCTCTATCCA